CAGAGAAACAGTCATAATAATATTCCTGCCACTGAAAATAGACAGTGTGATCCATTCAAAAATTGACAGCACTATTTGCCACCAAAATTTGGTACAAAACCATGAATTCCTTAGTGATCTGCAATGTAAAATTAATACTTGTTTATTCATTTCCATATTTGGAAGCAGTTAATTAAGCCTAATTAATCTGTATTAGAACCCTTTAATAAGTTGGTTCTGTATAGTGTCTGTCTTTTAGAAAGAAATATCCCTGTGATTCTAAGAGTTCCTTAGACAGAATATGTGCTACATCCTCTATGTTTCTATGGTTCTCAGTCTTCCAAGAAACAGTGAGTTGCAGCCTGCTGATGCTCTTTCTGCCAGTTTCGCTCATTCTACTGACAGTGATAAAGATCATCCCTGCACTGTTCTGCCCTGGTAATTTTATGAAAGTAAAATGTGTGTGAGTGCCATTTATCCAGTTTCAATTAATAAATAATATTCAATACACTTAAAACATAATTAATTAAATCTTACCCATTTAATTTGATAAATTATTCTAGTTTAGTATTAATTAATTATGATTGGACAGCAATTTTATTGTAATTGAATAATGCATAATATGTGAAATAAAATGGGAAAAATGATCTTTATATTACTTCATTTATTTTTAAAACTAACCCTGCATATGCCATATTCCTGTCATACAGCCCCCAAGCCTGAAAAACAAAGTTGCATATCCTGATGTATAAATACTAGTGTGTCTACACAGGTGAATATACGATAATACTTTCACTAAAAGGGCAATTCCATAAAGTAAAATATCTGAGCATTTTGAAAACTATTTCAATTTATCTTACTATTCAATACAGCTGTACACATCTCCAACCAAATGGGCAAATATACACCAAATCAGGGTATATATGAATAACTGGAGTACCTATAGTGGAGGAAAGAGCCACTGTTCACTTCTGGAGCAGAGTAACTCCACAACAGATGCTTTGTATTTCTTCACAATCTGTCTTTTACATGTATGGATGATTCTGACCTTGGTTATGCGTGCCAATTTTTACTAACTCCCAACCCTCCCTCCCTTTTTTTTTTTAATTTCAAAAGACAAGGGGATATCTTTTGGGAAATATGCAAGCAACATGTTTGTAGAAATTAGAAACTAAAAGATACCTTTCTAGTCTGGGTTCTGCAGAGTGGGCATAGCAAGATTAGTTTATTGAAGAGATTAAAGGGTGTGTATGTTTCTCTGTTGTATGTGTTGCATCACTCACATTTTTGCTTCACCATTTCATTAAATCCAAAACAGTCCTTCAAAATATTTTGGCACAGAGGGACTACAGCTACATCCCAGCTGTTCTTGGTTCTGCACTCCTCCAGCAACCAGATCATGTGCTGATCTTCTAAGATTCTCAAGCAGTGAGCAATTTTACATGAGTGAAAATGCTGTTGTAATCTGTGTGTAGTGTATGTACACTTAAACTTCCATTTTAAAAAGCCAGGAAATTTAATTCTTCAAAAAACAAATAAATAAAAAAAAACCCTCCAGTTTTTGAATTTGAGACATTGTGCTTCTGTATCCCTTACTCAAAATGCCAGGAAATGGCCCAATATTGCTGCACAAGATTATGCAAACTTCACACACAATAGCAGTCAAGATGATCTAGCAGTGGTTCCCAACCTTGGGTCCCCAGATATTCTTTGACTGCAGCTTCCAGAAATACTGGCCAGCACAGCTGGTGGTGAAGGCTTCTGGGAGTTTTCGTCTAAGAACTCTGAGGACCCAAGTTTGGGAACCAATGGTCTACAGCAGTTGTTCCCAATCTTGGGCCTCCAGATGTTTATTTATTTATTCCATTTATACCCCACCTATCTGTTCATCACGAACACTCTAGGCAGCTAGAGTTTTTGGACTACAACTCTCAGAAGCCTTCACTACCACCTCTGCTGGCCAGGATTTCTGGGAGCTGAAGTCCAAGAACATCTGGAGGCCCAAAGTTGGGGATCACTGGTCTACAGGATACTCTTTTGTGGTCGCTACCATTCACGAAGACACGTCAGGCAGAAGAAAATCCCAGAACCTACGTAATTCCTTTTTTCATCAGTTCACCACTTCAAACACAAAACAATTATCAGGGCTAGTTTTTTTTTTTAAATCTGGCTTTTCTTCCAGAAGCAGGATGCAACTTGGCACATAACAGAATTAAAACAGGAAAAAATAGATAAATCCATGTAAAAGTAAGAACAAAACAAAAACTTAACATGTTAAAACCCAATCAAATGTTTATTAAAACTTAGTTAAGTTAAAAGCAGGCTAATAAAACATCTCAAAATTTAAACATCACCAGGGCATTGAAAGCACTTTTGCCAATAGATAGTCAACTACGAAGCTGATTTTGTTATCTAGATCTAGAAACTTAGGAGGTAGTGATTTATACTCCTATAGTCATAAATCAACCAAATACATATTCAGATCTATTGTAACAAACTCGGGATTCAAAGAGGCTTTGGAATGCAAAATGTAAAACAAAAACCAAACAGCAATACTGTATTCAAAGGTTAATAGCTGCCACTAATTTGGTGAGAAAAGGCTTACATTATGCTGGTCCATAAATGCTAAAAGAATGTGCTACCCTGGGAAACACTTGACAGCTGCAGACCCGAAACCTTACATATACAGTATATGACTTTGCCTGACTCCACCAGAGTAAGACCTCTTCTAGTCCAGCCTCCTGTTTCCAAAAGCAGCCATAGAAATGTCTTTGGAAACCCTGAAGGGTGGTGCTGATTATCTTGTGCTGCATTTGGTACTCCAAAGTACTGTATAATGCTTCTGAACACAGATGTTCTATTTAACTATCATGGTTAACAGCCATAAACAGATCTATTCATGAATCTGACTTGCAATTTGAAATACACTGCAGCAACAACCTAATTTGTGGCAATACATTTTCCTTCAAAGTCACACTACTATCTTGAGCTGAACAGTAAAATGTCAGATTGTCTACTGGGAATTGTATTAGTCTTTTGTCCATAGCTACTGTATAACTTATACATAATATTAACAGGAAAAAACCAAGGCAGAAAAATCAAATTATATATGAAAGGATTAATTGCCCTCCCCCAACAATAACCACGTTCTATGGAGGATACAAATAAGAAGATAATTAAAGTTGGGGATTGTTTAATGTTTAGGATCACATCTTTTAAAAAGTTTTTAATTTTCTTGCATGTCATCAACAAGAGATAGACACACTACATATGTTGTAACAAAAACATCAGTACAACCCTGTATGTATCTATTCATGCTCTCACTTCAATGGGCTTTAAATAGTACACAAGGATGCGGAGGACTGTCTAAAACTGTGCTGAACAGGTCTTATTTCTGATTAATTGTTCATAGGCTTATACAAGACTAACAAATTCATTGGGGCAGAGGCTTTCATATCAAGCTCCTGAACATGGCTGACACACACATATATGAAAGCCATTAAAAATTAAATGTTGTACAAAAGAATCCCCTTTGTGTTTCACTCTAACTGCATCATTTATGACTTCATAAACATCTCTCTCTCTCTCTCTCTCTCTCTTAAAAAAAGGCTTGTAATATGGCTCCCAGTTGTCTCCCCTCCAGATTGCTGATCAGGTTAGCTTCAGTAAGACTGCAGCATCTGGTACTTTCAGTCCATTCACAGTTCACTGTGGAAATCTTTTCTAGATCCTCAGGGGAAAATAATGTAGTTCATGAATTTAGATAACAGACAGTTACACAGACATGTTGTAGGCACAAGGTATTATTTCTGGCATTGCAAGAATTAGCTTTGTTCCATTCCATGAATAAAGAAAACTTTACTCTTTCACCAAAGAAATGTAAAGTTAAACCAGTATTCGCTGTAATTACTGCAAATAAACTTACCATGGGGGGGAATCAGATAACAGGTATTTAAAGAACTTGCAGGTACTCAAATATCCTATGTTTACTATGAAAATAGTAAACATATAGGATAGTGTTTTCAAACGCATATGTATCTTTGAAGAAAAGGCGCCTGCCTTTAAACTCATGGGATTGTGATCCCACTTCTATACGGCCCCACATGTTTTCTGGTTGGCATTTCCCCCTTTGGTAGCCTGCGGCCAACATTTTAAGCAGGTTTCCGAAGAAACACCTGAGACCACCTCGAGCGAGGAGGCCGCCGCGTACGTGAGGCAGATTCCACCCAATGTACCCAGAAGCTGGGGTGGGGGAACTGCAATCCGCGGTAACTTTCCACAGGGCACACACGTACCTCCTGCCAAAGATGTGTGTGTGCACGTGCGGCCGCGTCACATGACCCACGCCCCACCCCGCCTTCCCGGCGGGCGGCCGAGGCGCTCCCCCTCCCCGCTCCCCACTGACTCCCCCTTTTCCCCTCTCCCCCCTGGGAGGAAGTTCTTGGCATGCAGGGGAGTCAAGTGGGGAGGCGGCCTGGCGCGCTCCCTCCGCAGAGGCGGCCTCCCCCTTCCCCTTCCCCTCCCCCTTCCCCTCCCTCTCCGCCTCTGGTCCGCAGCTGTCTGGGGCTGACCCGCCCGCCGCCGCGGGCGTCCACG